ACACACTGTAACACAACACACTGACAGACACACAACACTGACAAAAGACAACAAAGAGACAAAAGCCAAAGAGACCTCTGAGACAGATGAGGCAGGTGAGACAGGTGAGGTCAGCACATAAAGGACAGGTAATACAGGTAAGCAGGTGTACATACGCGTCCTCTCCTGTATGCAGCTGTGGTTCTGGTGCTGCCCACTGCAGCTGCTGATGCAGATGTTGTAGTTGCGTCCGGACACCAGCGAGCTGAACACGCAGCTCGGACTTGACTTGGAGACACTGAGCGTGTGCAGCGTTCGCTCTCCGTCGCTCAGCGTCACCAGGTAACTGTCCACCTCACCTGCAGCCGGACGCCACGACACGATCAGGAAGTCCGTCCGTCCGTTGTTACTCGCCCTCACGTCGCCCACAGCTGCTGGCACTGGGAGGGAGGAGTCAGAATACAGGTGAAGCTGTGACATCACTGCTGGCGAATGACAGCATTACTGATCTCTGCTTTAAACATTATAAAATCATACAGGGTTTGTGTCGCCGTGACAAGGACTAAAAGCATCTTCATTTGCTCAGACTTTTATATCATCATGAGGACTGACCGAGGATCGTCTAACCGTCCTCTCAAAGAAGTATCACTACAACCAGGAAGACTGATAATGTACACAGTCGATCTGATTGGTCACATGTCAGACGAGCAACCAATCAGCACTGAAGGGCAACAGTTCAAAAGTTCTCATTTAATTAAAGCTGCAAAGCAGAAATAAACAAAGGTTTATGTTGTAGTTTGTGTTATTCTCAGTTCTGACAGCAAGATGATCATTTGGTTTCCACCACTGCTGATGAATGATGCGTCCTGCTTGAGTGTCTGTGAGTTACACAACATGTGTACCAGCAGAACACAGGAAGTCTCTGACGGCACACCTTCACTTCTATTATCGACACTTCCTGAAAATTCCACACAAATTCCTGCTTTTTAACATCCTGCTGTCAGTACAGCACACACACACACGCACACACACGCACACACACACACNCACACACACACACACACACACACACACACACACACACACACACACACGCACTCACACTGTTTGGACCCTGACATGTTTGCAGGAGCTCTGGGAGCAGAGCAGCACAGAGATGGAGGTTAACTTTAAACCAGGTCCAGACTTCTACTGGGTCAGCCCTCCCACTTAAATCACAGGTTAGAATCTGTAGGTAGATCATGACTCTCCGTCACACAGAACAAGGCGGTTCTGGTGGTTCTGCTGGTCTTACCGGTGCGTCCCTCTGCCACTGTCTGTCTGGAAGTGAGTCCATTTCGAACCGTGGTCACCACCACCCGGTACAGAGCTCCGGGCCTCAGACCCGGGAAGCTCACGCTGCCAGTGTCGGCCGTCACGCTCTCGTTCTTGATGACGCTGCTGTCATGGACCAGCAGAACCTGATAGGAATCCAGCTCTCCAGAGGCGGGTTCCCACCGGGCCTGAAGACTGCTGGTGCTGCCGAGGTTGGACAGCTGCAACCCGCTGACCTGTGACGGAGCTGAGAGGACAGAGACACTTTAACGTGGACCAGAGAGCCCTGAGACTGACTGCAGCAACCACAGAGACACAGAACGGCAAAGAGACAAGCAGCAGACGTACTGGTCCACGCCGTCACCAAGGCGGAGCTCGTCAGATTGCCACTGTTGGTCGTCAAGGTGACAGTGTAGCGGCGTCCGGCAGTCAGCCCGGTGAAGCTGCACTCTGTGGCCTCCCAGCTCAGGTTCTTCTGATCCAAGATGGCGTCCGTCTGTCTGAGCAGCGCCGTGAAACCGTCCCAGCGTCCCGCCGGCCGAGTCCAGAGCACGCTCAGTGATGTCTCATCGGCCTGACGGACCGACAGCTGCACCGGATGAGGCGCTGCAGGGAGGAGGACGGTTACCAAGGAAACACCAAACCTAAACTACAGCTCCCAGAGTGCATCTCACCAACACACAGCCAGACACAGAGCTTCATTTATCATCAGCAACTTTGGTTAATTTTGACTCTGTTGTGGATGAGTTTAGTAACCGTGATGATGAGTTTCAGATATGACTGACACCTTCTCCATAGCAACGGCAGCTGAGGCTCATGGGTGATGTAGTATGTTTTAGTATTTATCTAAACTGGAGGTCTGACTTTACAAAAATGTCTCCAACATTGAGGCCGACAGCTTCAGGACCTGAACTTGAATCTGAACTTCATTAAACAATGTGAACCTCAAAACCTGCAAGTTTAAAGACTTTATCTGTAAAAACCACCAGAATAACCCGAACCCTGAGTAAGAGATGATTACAGACAGAACCCTCAGATTCTCTACTTCTCAGCGGTTCATGTAGGACGTATTGCTGGACAACGACAAACAGCACAACACAGACGCGCAACAACAACAACAACAACAACAAGGCACAAAAGACCAATGAGACACTGTGAGGAGCTCAGAGATGCAGCATCGCTCAGTAACTTTGGTTCTGAAGCTAAAAGAACTGGACTGACCGATCCATCCGCTGCAGGCTGCCATGGTTCCGAGAGCGCCGCTGTGCACCGTCACCTCGGCGCTGTACAGGCCACCCGGCAGCAGGCCAAGCTCCAGGACGGAGAAGACGTGGCATCTGATCAGCTTACCGACGGTCTGATTCACCAGAACCTCCGACCCATTCCTCAGAACCACGCTGTAGTTCTCCCAGTCGCCTGCAGGGGGTGCCCAGCTGAGCTGCAGCTCTCTGCTGTCACCTGACAGGAAGAGAGACGACACCGGGCCGGGCACTGGAACACACCAGGGGCAGATATTACCATCAGGGGCAGATATTACCATTAGGGGCAACAAGTTTAGTTTATTCCAGCACAGAGTGAAATTTATAGATTTATCGGATTGTGAGTAATCTGCTAGTGAGAGCAGAACTTCACTAACTGACACCAACACTGTCCCTCAGGTGAGCCTACCTGTCCTCCCCCTGGTCCTGGTCTCGGCGCTCCGCCCGCCAGCTGAGGTGCTGACTGACAGCTGGTAGCTGCGTCCAGGTGTCAGACCCTGGAACTCCACCTGGGTGGTATTGGGTTGAAGGCGGCGCTGCTGAGGGGTGGAACCTGGAGCCCAGAGGGTCACCAGGTAGGAGTCCAGCCTCCCTGCAGGTGTGACCCAGGAAGCCCGGAGACTGTCAGAGCTGCCAGCGCTGTCCAGGATCAGAGCCGACACTACAGCTGGGGCTGGGAAGGAGAAAAATAACCCTGTTGATCTGACCACATTCTGTAGAACCAGAACCTTCTTCTTGCTGGTTCTGATCCTGTAGAACCAGAACCTTCCTCCTCCTGGTTCTGATCCTGTAAAATCAGAACCTTCCTCCTCCTGGTTCTGATCCTGTAGAACCAGAACCTTCCTCCTCCTGGTTCTGATCCTCCACCACTGACTCAGCTGTGACCAACAGGAAACATTCAGAGAGTTTCAGGTGAACTGCAGCCAGAGTTTCCTCAGAGAGACTGAGAGACTCTCATCCTACTACCGGTCCACTGGACCCGATACCATCCAACCTCTTACAAACCACTTCCTCAGCACTTAACCCTTCAGCAACACACATCATCAACTCCTCACTTGCTACGGGTGTGTTTCCTGCTACATTAGCAAGCCCGAGTCGCTCCAACAACCATAAACCAGCACTCGACCCGGCCCAGGTTGAAAGCTACAGACCGGTTTCACTCCTGCTCTTCCTGTCTAAAGTACTTGAGCGACCTGTCTTCAACCAAGTCTCTGCTTTCCTCTATGACAACAACCTGTATGACCTGTATCAGTCTGGTTCTAAACGGGGTCACTCTACCAGACTGCACTCCTCTCTGTAACAGAACCACTGGGTTCTGCTGGAGCTGCTGGACAGTCTTCAGCTCTGTTGCTGTTAGAGCTGCCTTTGACACGGTGACCCACCACATCCTCCTCTCCACACTCCTTGAGCTGGACATCTCAGGATCTGCCCTCCGCTGGTTCATGTCCTACCTCTCAGGAGACACTTCAGAGTGACCTGGAGGGGAGAAGTGTCCGAACCACACAACCTGTCCACAGGGGTTCCTCAGGGGTCAGTGCTCGGTCCCCTTCTCTTCTCAGCATACACAACCTCACTCAATAATCCAGGCCATGGTTTCTCATACCGTTGCTATGCTGATGATACCCAGCTCTTCCTGTCGTTCCCCTGGACGACCACACGGTCTCTGCTGGATCTCATCATGCCTGGCAGACATCTCAGCATGGATGAAGAAACGCCACCTTCAGCTCAGCCTCTGTAAGACTGAGCTCCTTGTCATCCCAGCCAGTCCCTCTCTACAACAAGGAATCAGCATCCAGCTGATCCAACCCAACTCAGACCCACTAAATCTGACAGAACCTTGGGTGTCATGATTGGTGACCAGCTGACCTTCAAGGCTCATGTGGCCTCTGTTGCTCGGTCGTGTCGATTCGTCCTGTACAGCATCAGGAAGATCAGACCTTTCCTGTCTGAACATGCAGCACAACTCCTGGTCCAGGCTCTCATCATATCATCGACTACTGCAGCTCCTTACTGGCAGGCCTCCTGCATCCACAGTCAGACCTCTGCAGATGATCCAGAACCAGCAGCAACCAGCCAGAAACAACTCATGGACTGTTCAGATCGATCACTGGCTTCCAGCTGCTTCAAATCCAAACACTGACACTGAAGCAGAACCACAGAGAGAACATCTCCTCCTGCCTGAACTCTCTCCTTCAGGTCTACACTCCCTCTGCTCACTAACTGGACCAACCAGAACCTCCTGGTCCAACCACCACAACAGGTCCAGGTCGGTAGCTGGACTCTCCTCCTCTGTGGTTCTGGTGGTGGAACCAGTTACCAAACTGGTCCACCTGCTGACTCCCTCTCAGTCTGCAAGAACAGACTGAAGAGCAGCTCTGCACTCAACACCTCTGCACCTGACAGCCTGGAAACAAACAAACAAACAAACAAACAAACAAACAAACAAACAAACAAACAAACAAACAAACCTCCTATCCCCTCCCTACAGCCTGCTGCTGCACCAGCGCCCTGTCACACTGGACCAGTTCTACAGCTCTGATCCAGACTGTTCTCTCCTGACCAGATCCTTGCTTGTGTTGTGTCTGCTCCCAGATGTACGTCGCCTTGGATAAAAGTGTCTGCTGAATGAAATTGTAGAACTGTAGAGAGGAAAAACCAACCTGCTGGATCAATAAATAAATGCAGCATGGATCAGAACCAGAGAACAGAGGAGCCAGATGGTGGAGATACCTGGCAAAGTGTTTGGGAATCATACCGATGATAAGACTGCGTTCTGATGACCAACAGTCAGCAGTTAGAATCTTTATCTGATCTGCTCTGATCTGATCTTAGGAACCTCCCAGAATATCTACCTGTGGTGACCTGCGTGGAGGCGGAACTCTGCAGTCCGGCTGCCTCTGTTACCACGGTGACGGTGTGTGGCGTTCCTGGCTGCAGCCCGTCCAGCTCAGCAGAGGAGGATGTGTTCTTCAGAGTGATGTTCTTCAGCAGAACCCCGTCCTGATCCGTCACCAGAACCCTGAAGTTCTCCACTCGACCCAGACCAGCCCGCCACGACACAGTGAGGATGTGTGACGACAAGGTCGCCACCTGCAGGCTGTCCACGGCAGACGGAGCTGGAGAACACAGAACCAAGGATCAGAATCCAGGAACCACAGCAGCTTTGGGTTCTGGAATTGTAGGACTGTAACTTTTTACCACAAAGCCCAAAATCGAAATCTACAAAACCTCTAATGTTTGAATGCATGGTGGTGTGTCTCACC